CCAGCCAGGGCCCTGACTTAAACCCAATTGAGCATCTCTGGAGAGACCTAAAAATGGGTGTCCACCAACGTTTACCATCTAACCTGACAGAACTGGAGAGGATCTGCAAGGAGGCATGGCAGAGGATCCCCAAATCCAGGTGTGAAAAACTTGTTGCATCTTTCCCAAAAAGACTCATGGCTGTATTAGATCAAAAGGGTGCTTCTACTAAATACTGAGCAAAGGGTCTGAATACTTAGGACCATGTGATATTTCAGGTTTTCTTTTTTAATAAATCTGCAAAAATGTCAACAATTCTGTGTTTTTCTGTCAATATGGGGTGCTGTGTGTACATTAATGAGGAAAAAAAAATAACTTAAATGATTTTAGCAAATGGCTGCAATATAACAAAGAGTGAAAAATGTAAAGGGGTCTGAATACTTTCCGTACCCACTGTATATATATATATATAATATAATATATAAAGTATATATAAGTCTACAATAAGTATATTCAGTATGACTATTCATTCAGTATGACTATATAATAATAATAATTTGTTTGTAATTGAAAATAAGTATAAATAATTTTGAAATATAATTGAACTTTTTTAATTTATTCAGTATGACTATATAAGTATATTCACTGTATATAAGTAATATATATATATATACATATATAAAATATGTTATTATTGTTATAATATATTATATATAAGTAATATATATAATATAATATATATAAAGTATATTCAGTATGACTATATTCATTCAGTATGACTATGTAATAATAATATTTTTGTAACTGTAAATAATTATAAATAATTTTGAAAAATAATTGAACAAAATAAAAAACAAGTATTTAATAATAATAATATCATTATTAGTTTTGTGTTATTAGTATTTAAATCATTAAATTAAACAGTTCAACAAGGATATACATATATATTACTACTGCAATAATACTATTCTAGTCAAAATAAAAAGTATAATAATAACAATTATACTTCTAATTATAATTTCTATAATTTATAATTAATTTCATGAATTATAAATATATTACTATTGCAAAATACTACTGTAATGTGAAATAAAAAATGTTAAAATAATATTTAAAATATTACTTTTTATAGTTATATCAACTTCTTTTATTATTATTAATAATAATAATAATAATAGTAAATGTTTTTGTTTTATTTTATTACTATTTGAAATGATAAGAATTGAGCAAATTAATAAAGAAATATATTTATATTGCATTAATGCCACTGTGCTACAAATAAAAAAAAAACAAGTATTGAATAATAATAACAATAATTTGATTTGACAGAATAGTACAATTAAAATAGCAATTTTTATACTTGATCCAAACTGCTTTCAAACATTAAACCATAAAAAGCAGAAAACCACTAGGAGACTTTAAAGATTCTGTTTTGTTGATATTTGTATAAATGATTCTCGTCACAAACTTGGAATTACGCAATTTACGGACGTCACACAGGTCGTAAAATAAGGAAATCACATCCCTGTTACGTGTTATCAGCTGATCAATCATAACTAGTGTAAGATAATTCATGTGCATTCTGAGCTTTTATACTGTGAGTTTGGCAGACCTGGATGTGTTTATTCAGTGTCGGTGGTGTGTTCACTCCTTCATACCTTGCGAGGCACCTGGTAGCTGATGGGCACTATGAAGTTATCAGTGAGCTGCATCAGACGCAAAACCTCACAGCAGCTGACGTCCAGAGCGAGCTTCGGCACCAGAGCCACGCCACGAGTCGACACGTCCGTCAAACAGTGACTCACTGACAACGACAGAGACAGATCAGCTTCATGAAACACGAAAGAAGAGCCCGAGAAACAGCGTCTGTGTTACCTTGAGACAGGAAGGGCTCACTGCTGTTCACCTCGAAACAGTCGATCACACTCTCACCCTGAGAAAATATGATTAATAATAGTATTCATATTGAAGATAAAGAATGTTAAAGTATCTTAAAATATGTTAATAAATGGTCACATACATTCCCAGACACAATAAGTAGTCCAGAGTCTGGATCAAACAGAGGCATCAGAGTCCTGCGGATAAAAACAGACAGAGAAGCGCAAATATTGATTCGGCTACTGATGCTGTAGCATACATTTTGTTTTCAAATTACTATTTGAAATGATAAGAATTGAGCCAATTAATAAAGAAATATATTTATATTGCATTAATGCCACTGTGCTACAAATAAAAAAAAACAAGTATTGAATAATAATAACAATAATTTGATTTGACAGAATAGTACAATTAAAATAGCAATTTTTATACTTGATCCAAACTGCTTTCAAACATTAAACCATAAAAAGCAGAAAACCACTAGGAGACTTTAAAGATTCTGTTTTGTTGATATTTGTATAAATGATTCTCGTCACAAACTTGGAATTACGCAATTTACGGACGTCACACAGGTCGTAAAATAAGGAAATCACATCCCTGTTACGTGTTATCAGCTGATCAATCATAACTAGTGTAAGATAATTCATGTGCATTCTGAGCTTTTATACTGTGAGTTTGGCAGACCTGGATGTGTTTATTCAGTGTCGGTGGTGTGTTCACTCCTTCATACCTTGCGAGGCACCTGGTAGCTGATGGGCACTATGAAGTTATCAGTGAGCTGCATCAGACGCAAAACCTCACAGCAGCTGACGTCCAGAGCGAGCTTCGGCACCAGAGCCACGCCACGAGTCGACACGTCCGTCAAACAGTGACTCACTGACAACGACAGAGACAGATCAGCTTCATGCAACATGAAAGAAGAGCCCGAGAAACAGCGTCTGTGTTACCTTGAGACAGGAAGGGCTCACTGCTGTTCACCTCGAAACAGTCGATCACACTCTCACCCTGAGAAAATATGATTAATAATAGTATTCATATTGAAGATAAAGAATGTTAAAGTATCTTAAAATATGTTAATAAATGGTCACATACATTCCCAGACACAATAAGTAGTCCAGAGTCTGGATCAAACAGAGGCATCAGAGTCCTGCGGATAAAAACAGACAGAGAAGCGCAAATATTGATTCGGCTACTGATGCTGTAGCATACATTTTGTTTTCAACTTTTCTTAGACACTCCTGTTTTTTTTAGTTTTTTTTTTTAGAAATTAATACTTTTTTTACTTTCTATTCCTAAAAGATCAATAGAAAGTGGGGGGAAAAAAACATGTTTCCACAAAAGTATATGCAGCACAACTGTTTTCAGCTTTGATAATAATAATAATAATAAATGTTTCTTGAGCATCAAATCAGCATATTAGCATGACTTCTGGAGGACCATGTGACGCTGAAGACTGGAGAAATGATGCTGAAAATACAGCTTTGCTATTACCGTATAATAAAAATTACATTTTAAAATATATTCACAAAGAAAATAATTATAATAATATTACACAATATTACGGTTTGTTTGTTTATAATAAATAAATGCAGCCTTGGCGAGCATAAAAGCCTTTAACATTTAAAAAATCTTACAGACCCAAAACATTTGAACAATAATGTCATTATAGGAACACTCAACCTGGAGACATATTAGTGGCCCATAAATATTACTTTTTAAAGTGAAGTGTCTTGCCTTTTCAAACACTCAACATGGCAGCCACCATAAGGGGGCGACACACTTCATAATATAACCGCTTTTTTTCTAGACCGCTTATTTGAATTTTCATCCCGTGTGATCATTTTAAACGTTTACTATTTCTTTAGATGTTAAAAAAGAGACCACGTAAAAAAAAAAAATGAATTCTACTCTGAAGAAAATGTGATATCTGTGATGGCAGTTTTCTGAGGGGGAAAAAAACCTGTAATAATTCATGTCTGCAGCATAAACGAATTACGCACCAAATTTAATACGCTATACACTGACAACCACAGTTTGTTTCGTCCAAATCAAGCAGATTCAAGAAGACACTGAAGTCAAAGTGAGGAAAAAGTAAGTAGATCCAACAGGTCTGTAGTTATCAGTGCTGGGGAAAGTTACTTTTAAAAGTAATGCATTACAAAAAAGTAACTAATTACGTTACTTAGCTACTTTTTATGGAAAGTAATGCGTTGCGTTACTTTTTAAATCTGGACAGGGCTTGCTTGTTTGTTTTTAAAATAAAAAATTCTATTTTTGGCAAATATAAAAGCCTTTTTACACCAAAAGTGAAATGAATAAGCCTCAGGCTGAAGGGAAAGTAAATTTACGTCCGTACAGTAGAATGCAGAAGAAGAAATTTCAACACACTTCAGCAATAAACAAAAACACACAAATGTTTGTCTAGAGTAATTTTGGCTTATTAGTACGGTTGAACTGGATCATCGAAGGTCAGAAGCAAAGACATTGGTTAACAGAATGGGATTAAATACATAAAGGATATTTATTCTTAATGACATTTAATTATTGCAAGTTGCATTTTTTTTATTCATTTTGAGGAATACTGAATCTATGTTTTTTTTTGTGAGTGAGATGAATTAAGGCATATTCATATTTATTTTAGAACTACAGTAGCATCTTCTGATTTCTCTCAACATGGGGACAGGAGAGCTGTCAATCAATAAATTGTTTGTATAAATGATTCTCGTCACAAACTTGGAATTACGCAATTTACGGACGTCACACAGGTCGTAAAATAAGGAAATCACATCCCTGTTACGTGTTATCAGCTGATCAATCATAACTAGTGTAAGATAATTCATGTGCATTCTGAGCTTTTATACTGTGAGTTTGGCAGACCTGGATGTGTTTATTCAGTGTCGGTGGTGTGTTCACTCCTTCATACCTTGCGAGGCACCTGGTAGCTGATGGGCACTATGAAGTTATCAGTGAGCTGCATCAGACGCAAAACCTCACAGCAGCTGACGTCCAGAGCGAGCTTCGGCACCAGAGCCACGCCACGAGTCGACACGTCCGTCAAACAGTGACTCACTGACAACGACAGAGACAGATCAGCTTCATGAAACACGAAAGAAGAGCCCGAGAAACAGCGTCTGTGTTACCTTGAGACAGGAAGGGCTCACTGCTGTTCACCTCGAAACAGTCGATCACACTCTCACCCTGAGAAAATATGATTAATAATAGTATTCATATTGAAGATAAAGAATGTTAAAGTATCTTAAAATATGTTAATAAATGGTCACATACATTCCCAGACACAATAAGTAGTCCAGAGTCTGGATCAAACAGAGGCATCAGAGTCCTGCGGATAAAAACAGACAGAGAAGCGCAAATATTGATTCGGCTACTGATGCTGTAGCATACATTTTGTTTTCAACTTTTCTTAGACACTCCTGTTTTTTTTAGTTTTTTTTTTAGAAATTAATACTTTTTTTACTTTCTATTCCTAAAAGATCAATAGAAAGTGGGGGGAAAAAAAACATGTTTCCACAAAAGTATATGCAGCACAACTGTTTTCAGCTTTGATAATAATAATAATAATAAATGTTTCTTGAGCATCAAATCAGCATATTAGCATGACTTCTGGAGGACCATGTGACGCTGAAGACTGGAGAAATGATGCTGAAAATACAGCTTTGCTATTACCGTATAATAAAAATTACATTTTAAAATATATTCACAAAGAAAATAATTATAATAATATTACACAATATTACGGTTTGTTTGTTTATAATAAATAAATGCAGCCTTGGCGAGCATAAAAGCCTTTAACATTTAAAAAATCTTACAGACCCAAAACATTTGAACAATAATGTCATTATAGGAACACTCAACCTGGAGACATATTAGTTGCCCATAAATATTACTTTTTAAAGTGAAGTGTCTTGCCTTTTCAAACACTCAACATGGCAGCCACCATAAGGGGGCGACACACTTCATAATATAACCGCTTTTTTTCTAGACCGCTTATTTGAATTTTCATCCCGTGTGATCATTTTAAACGTTTACTATTTCTTTAGATGTTAAAAAAGAGACCACGTAAAAAAAAAAAATGAATTCTACTCTGAAGAAAATGTGATATCTGTGATGGCAGTTTTCTGAGGGGGAAAAAAACCTGTAATAATTCATGTCTGCAGCATAAACGAATTACGCACCAAATTTAATACGCTATACACTGACAACCACAGTTTGTTTCGTCCAAATCAAGCAGATTCAAGAAGACACTGAAGTCAAAGTGAGGAAAAAGTAAGTAGATCCAACAGGTCTGTAGTTATCAGTGCTGGGGAAAGTTACTTTTAAAAGTAATGCATTACAAAAAAGTAACTAATTACGTTACTTAGCTACTTTTTATGGAAAGTAATGCGTTGCGTTACTTTTTAAATCTGGACAGGGCTTGCTTGTTTGTTTTTAAAATAAAAAATTCTATTTTTGGCAAATATAAAAGCCTTTTTACACCAAAAGTGAAATGAATAAGCCTCAGGCTGAAGGGAAAGTAAATTTACGTCCGTACAGTAGAATGCAGAAGAAGAAATTTCAACACACTTCAGCAATAAACAAAAACACACAAATGTTTGTCTAGAGTAATTTTGGCTTATTAGTACGGTTGAACTGGATCATCGAAGGTCAGAAGCAAAGACATTGGTTAACAGAATGGGATTAAATACATAAAGGATATTTATTCTTAATGACATTTAATTATTGCAAGTTGCATTTTTTTTATTCATTTTGAGGAATACTGAATCTATGTTTTTTTTTGTGAGTGAGATGAATTAAGGCATATTCATATTTATTTTAGAACTACAGTAGCATCTTCTGATTTCTCTCAACATGGGGACAGGAGAGCTGTCAATCAATAAATTGGGAGAAAAAAAAAGTAACTTGCGTTACTTATTTGAAAAAGTAACTAAGATATTCTCTTGTAAATTAAAAAGTAATGCGTTACTTTACTAGCTACTTGAAAAAAGTAATCTGATTACATAACTCGCATTACTTGTAATGCCCCAACACTGGTAGTTATAAGTGTGTGTGTACTGTATGCTTGCAGTGGGGAGGGCAAAACACTAGGTGGCACAATAAGCAGCGAAACGAGCTCAATTCAACACAGAAACCCACATCAGCTCTTCAACAAAATATTGCATTGATCAGACACAAAACATTTGAAAACTTCACATCGGGGTCATTTAAATCTGTCTGTTTGAGCCCGGACTGGAATCTGGCCCTCTTTCACACACACAAAGCCATATTCATCCGTCCGCTGCCTGACGCCCGAGGCACGAGCGGGGGTCACCGATGGGCACCAGCGGGCCCGGGGTCACAGCGTGAACACGAGTGTCTATTTCAAGTCACATGCTGCTGGGAGTGGGGCGTGTTTCCGCTTCACTCGAAGAAGCCAGATCAAACATTTCTCCCACATCAGTCAGCTCTGAGCGTGGGACATAACTGATCACAAACCACAGAATACTACAGAAGAGCAGGAGCTGCCCGATCCAGCCCTCCAGCTCTTTAACGAGTCTTTAGCCTAAATTCTCTTATGCAACTTTTAATGTTTTATTCTGTCATCACTTAGGCTACACTCATGTTGCATGGTAATTATTCAGATTTTTGAAAGAAGTGTGTGTGATTTATTATTTTTGTTTATTATTCAATACAATAATTTTTGTATTTAAATATTATATCTAAAATATGTAATTGAATATCTTAATTATTATTTAATAAATACACTATTTAATTAAAAAGAAAATGAAGGAATGAAGAAATTGAGACTTTTTTCAAACCAGCAAATTAGAATGATTTCTGAAGGACTACATTACTGAAAATTATATATATAAAAAAATATATAATAATATATATAATTCTACACAAGTATAAATGTATATCAATCTTTCTGAATAAAACTTTCACCTCTAACAGGAAAAAACCCTGAATTTGTCCTGAAGGACAGATAAGCCAATGAAAAACAAATGAAAACTTGACATTTATGCAATAATGCCTGACATTTTGGTCTGTTCCTCACACAAAGCTGTGGCATAAAGACTTGATATACCTCACAAATCATACAGACAACTTTTATGATGCTTTTGTGTCTATATTTTCGCAGTTTGGCA